GAATAAAAATACTACAGAAGTCTTAGACCAGGGGGCATCTTTCAGCTCTGTCCTCAGTCCACTCCCTGTCCCTAGTTGGGGGCATTCAGAGACTTGGGACCCCCTTCAGTTTCCTATATACAACTTCAGACAAAAGCATAGAGAAAGAAAGGGGTGAAGGCCCTTTCAAACAGCAAATGAAACCAGACATTGAGAGGCACTAGCTGGGAAAGGGGAAGATCCAGACAAAGGCTGTAATCCCAAGAAAATGTCATAATGTCACTCATGCTGAAAGCCATATCGACACACTGGCCAGGGGTGGGGCCGAGGTAGGGAAAGGGAGTCTGAATTCTGGAGTCATGGGCCAACATGACCTATAACAATATTTCCAAAGTTCTGAAGTGGTCATGGCCTGCCCGGAAGGGGCTGGACAGAGTAGATCTTAAAGCTGAGGGTCTAGGGTTCAAGACCTTTTCGTGTGTGGCCCTAGAGGACAGAAATCCTAGAGGATCAATGGATTGAAGTGAATGAAGAAAAGCTGGGGTCTTCTGAATGAGTAGTGAAGTCAGAAGGCTTCCCTTATCCCCTCCCAGAAACAGAGTTCTTAATTACAGTGTAACTTGGCATATACAGTAGACATTTGGGGTTCATTTTGCCCCTATATTAATCCACTTTAACCAAGGGGTGAAAGATACAGGGAGGACAATTTCAGCTCAACATTAGAAAACTTACCAAAAATCCAGCAATAGGTTTCTGACCATTGGTCTCTCTGCCTGGAGTGTCTCCACTCCAGTCCATCTTCTCAGTTATCAAACTGACCACCCTAAAGCACAGGTCACTCTCTGATTAAATACACTTCAGTGGCTCCCTATGACTTCCTGGATCGAATATAAAATCCTCTTTTGGGATTTTAAAGCCCCTTAATACCTAGCCCCTTTCTACCTTTCCAATGTTCTTAAACCCTCCTTCCCTCTACCCCTCTTTACATACTTTAAGATCCAGTGACCCTGGACTCCTTGCCTGACTCCATCTCCTGACTCAGCATTTTCACTGGCTGTCCCCTAACCCTGGAATGTTCTCCTCCTTCACCTACTTCTCCTAACTTCCTTGACTTCCTTCAGGATTCAGCTAAAATGCTACCTGCTGCAAGAAGCTTTTCTCCATCTCCCTTAATGTTAGTGTCTTTTCTCTGAGATTATCTACATTTTATCTCATTATACACACACATATATATATATATATATATATATGTTTATACCTAGTTGCTTCCACGTTGTCTCCCCTGTTACACTGTGAGCTCCCCAAGAGGAGGGACTTGGGTTTTGGTTTTCGGTAGGTTGGTTTGTTTGTTTTGTTTTCTTTGTATCAATAGTGCTTAGAACAGTGGCCGACACATTACAGGTGCTTAATAAATGCTCATTGATTTGTTGACCTGAACAGAGCTGTCTAAATGTAGAATGGGTTACCATAATAGGCAGTGAGCAACCTGTCATTGTTCGTATCCCAACAAAGGTGGAATAACTATATGTCAGGCATATACTTACAGGAGGTCTTAACCAGAGGTCCATGAACTCAGACCTTTTCATATTTTGATGAATGAATTTCAACTGAATTGATTTCCTTTGTAATTCGGTGCATTTTTTTAAAATCTAGAAACATTATCCTATAGACCAAAGAGGTCTATAGTGAAAAAAAGGTTAAGACCCCCTGTAATAGAAGGAATTCCTGCATTTGGTGAGAGGTTAGTCTAGATCATCAGTTCTCAAATTTGTTGGCCTCAGGACCCCTTTATACTCTTAAAATTATTTAGGATGTCAAAGAACTTTTGTTTATATGGGTTATAACTATTGATGTATTAGAAATTAAGATGGATACATTTTCAAAATAGTTATTAATTCTTTTAAAATAACAATAATAAGCCATTACATGTTAACATGAACAAGATATTTTTAATGAAAAATATACTTTCTAAAACAAATAATAGTGAAAAATTGTTTTGCAGATTTTTGCAGATTTCTTTAATGTCTGGTGTAATAGAAGGCAGCTGGAGTCTGCTTTTGCATTCAATCTGTTATGATATGTTGTTTTGGTTGAAGTATAAGAAAAACTCCAGTTTCTTATGTATGTTTGTAGTTGGAAAAGGGAGGGGTATTTTAATAAGTAAATAACATCTTAGTGTTATTATGGGGAAAAACATTGACTTCCTAGATCCCTTGAAAGGGTTTCAGGGCCTCTTGGGGGTCCATGGGCCATACTTTGAGAACCCCTGACTTAGATGAACTCTGAGGTCTCTTCCAGTTTTATGATAATCCAAGCTGTCTGAGTGTGAATTCAACAATTCAATTTAATAAGAACAATTTAACAAGCACTTACTATGTGTACATCACTATGCTAGAGATACTTGGGGACACAGTATCAAACATAAGACAGTCCTTGCTCTCAAGAATCTAAAGCTCCAAGAATATACACAATCCCCACCATTACTGGAGAATTCTTTTTCTAAGATTCACTCTTGTGTCCATCAAGACTTATCTGCCTTGTTTCTCATACACAGGAGAGTTGCTCCAGCATCTGGGAACAGAGCATATAAAACCAAAAACCATTGAGACTGTAGGAGAGAGGGACTGTCACTGTCTATTATTCATCACTAACCATCACTGACCATCATCTACTGTTACCATCAGTCTGTCAGTCAACAGCAACAGCTTACTGGCACATTGGAGAAAGCACTGGACCTGAAGTCAAGAAGGCTTGAATTCAAATCTGGCCTCAGAAACTTACTAGTTGTGTGGCCCTGGGCAAGTCACTCACCCCTATCTATTTCAGTTTCCTTATCAGCAAAATTGGGATAATAATAGCATCTACCTCTGACGGTTGTTACAAAAATCAAATGAGTTGAGATGTGTAAAGTACTTTGCAAATCTTAAAGCACTGAATAAATTCTAGTTGGTTATCAACAAACATATATTAAGCACTTACTATGTGCCAAGGATTTTGTTAAGAGATAAAGATAAAAAGAAAAGTAAAATCACTATTACCCACCATCCTTGCACTTGTAACCACTGTTTTCCACCACTGAACATCACCCACTATCATTGATGATTACCTACCATCACCAACTAACAATTTCTTATCATTGCTGCCATCATTACCTATATCACCCACTATCGATGACCATCATTCACCATCATTACCATCACCCATCATCATTCAGTATCATTGCACATTGCTCTTCTTCATTGTCCATTGCCCACCATTACTGCCAGCATCAGTGATCACTGCTATCCATCACTATCACCAACTATCACTGACCACTGTTCAGCTCCAGGTTAGGAGGCTTAGGATGAACAAGCATCTTTCAGAAGCAAATGTCCTTCATTTTCTCCACCCCCTCTCCCTCTCTTATAGCCTCATGAAAGGCTACTTCTTTACTTCCTTTAACTTTCGATGGCACAATTGGGCCAGACATTTCCTTTCCACGTGGGTCCTGGGCTGTCTTATGAAGTTTAGGGAGTCTGAGTGGGCTCAGGGCCAGGCAGCATCAGGGAAGGTCTGAGAGCTGCCCTCCCTTCCCGAGGCTGGTCCCCTGGAGTGGCCACTCTCTTAAGTCTTCCCTCATTTGTAGGCTAGTGTTAGGAAGGAAAGTCCTCCATTTTCTCTCTTTGAGTGGACAGTCTGGGTCCTCCAGAGAGGACAGCTAATGGCCCGATTCCTCCTGAAGAGTGGGGAAGGAATTTAATTATTTTTATAAATGACATCAAATATTTTCCCTTCAATAATGTTCATTATTTAAAACCCATGACATTAGAAATTAGAGGCTGGGGCTAGGCCCAGGGGCTGTGGCTAAAGAGAGAAAATCAGAACCAGACTCCTAGCCCCAGTCCAAATCAGAAGTAAGGTGGAGCAGACAGAAAAGCTGATGTGGTAGTCTCCTTCACTATCTGTTGAGATCCAGGAGTTATCGCTATGAGAAGTCCCTCCACCAATATAAGCTCACAGCTACAAGCATGCACACATACACAAAAAATGGTGATCAATCCTACCTGCTCTGAGGAGGAAGTCCCTCCACAATGAGATAGGCTGGTTCTTGGACAGCAGACACAGTCTATTGATGGGACTTTTCTAGCTCACCAAAACTGACAGAGCTTTGTGACCTTGGCCAAGTCTCTTCCCTTCCATCTTTGAAATAAGGAGTATTGGAGAAGATGGTCTCTAAAGTACATTTGATCTCTAAATCAACGATTGATCATTTGTTCATATATGGAAGAATGGCAGCTCAGTCTTTCTGAGGCTACCAAATCTTCATAGCTTTTTTCTGGGCCCTGTCACAGACCAAAGGGGCCAGAAAAACTTGAGTCTCTATCCCTCCTTCTCCAACCCTCCCTCAACTTGTCCCTCCTTCTCTGGGTTGGTCCCTTTCCTTATAGTCTGCAGTTCCTTCAAGTCCATAGAACTACAGGCTGAATCCTCAACCCACCCAAGCCTTGCATACAACAAGGCCTGAGGTCCCTCAAGATTTAGGACAGGAGCAGGAATGCAGAGGAAACCAGTGGCAATGTGGAAGGGTAGATTCAGATGTGGGTGGCAAGACAGGGAGCTGATTAGCCAGTTTGGGAATGGAATCTCTAGAAGTTAGAGGGAGATGGAGAGAGGGATCTCAATTCAGCTCAACAAAAATTTATTAATCAACTATTATATCCAATGCACTGTACTGGACACAGAGAAAGGGATACAAAGATGAACAAAACATAATTCTTGCCCCCATGGAGCTCACAGTCTAGCAGGGGGATATGATATATACTCAGATGGCTATGTGATTTAATACAAATCAAAACATGCAAAGTGCTCTGTGATGACTGAAAAGGAAGGTAATTGTTGACTGAAGGAATCAGGGAAGGTTTCTGGGATGAAGTTGTATTTGAATTTGGCTTTGAAATAGGATGGCAACAGATTGAGATAATGTTGGGAGGGGGAAGGAGATGGGAGAAGACTCAGAGAATGTTGTGACCAAAGGTACAGAGATGGGAAAGTATGAGATCTGTACAGTAATTTAGTCTGGGTGGAGTGTACTTTACATGCTGGAGAATAGTGGAAGATAAACAAAGAAGAGTTGGGTGACATCAAATAGTGGAGGAATTTTGAATGCCAGACTAAGTGGGCTGTAGGAGGCCAATGAAGGCTATCGAACAGAGTGACATGATCAAAGCAGTGCCTAAGATATGATACCCTCAAAATCTGCCTGCCCTTGTGCTCACCATAGACCTGGGCTCCTTCTTGTCTTGCCATGGGCCCATATGCAAGTCAGGCTTTCTTCAAGGCTAATGGGACTTTATCCTGGACCTTGCTAAGGCAATGGGGGAACTTCACTATTTGCTTTTTTTCCTGAAGTGGTTGGGGAAGAAGGAGGAATCAACAGTGATCTAAGCTCCTAGACAGTCTACCAGGATCCTTACTCTCATGGAAATGGGAATGGGACTGCACCAGGCTCTGAAGGGGAATCCCACCCTGGGAAATCAGACTTCATGAAGATCCCGCTCTGACTGTACCGTCACAAAGATTTCACAAAGGACTCCCATCTAGTGCAGACCAAGTAATCTTGTCTTCCACTTCATTAAAGGCCTTCCTCATCCATCTAAGTCAATGGATGTAAGAATACTAGATACATACTCGGAGGACCTGAGTTCAAATGGCAGCTCAGTTACTTTGTGACTTTGGGCAAGTCATCTAACTTCTCACCCTTCAAATCTGTAAAATGGGGACTTCTCTACTTCACTAGGCTGTTGTGCTTTGAACAATGCTATGCAAACGTAAGCTGTTATTATTGCTGTTATCAGAGGCAGTCTAATCCCCTGCTTCGTTTGAATCCTGGACAGTGGGCAAGTCACTTCCCCTCTGAGCTTCGGTTTCTTCATCTGTCAAACAAGGATAATAAGCCCTAGTTTTCCTATTGCCACTGGGTGGTGTTGAGACTTGAATGAGGTCGTGTCTACCAAGTGTTTTGTGTTGCCAAAGCTCAGTAGAAGGTCCGCTTACCTTCACAGGACTCCTCCCGTTCTTGGAAGCCAGCGCTGCAGCTGCACCTGCCGACCGGCACGAGCCACTCCCCGTCGGCACTGCAGTGCATTCGAGGGGGAGGGCGGCCGGGCTCCCCCTCCGAGTGGGCCACGCATGTGCCAGTGACCTCCACCAGCGACGAGAAGGCAGCCTCCGCCACAGTGTCTGGGAAGGCTGCCAGGTTCTGCACGGTGGCCAGGCACTGCTTGTAATATACTCGCACGGAGACCAGCGCCACGCAGGCGCCCACATCTTGGAAGGCCAGGTGGAAGCCGTCCCTGCTCAGTGGCCCGATTTCCCTCACCTCCACATTGAGCTTCATTTTCCGCTCGCCCAGATCACCCTGGGTGAAGCTCTCATCTGCTGCGATGGTAGCCACTTTGCGCTGGCGGCTCTCGCTCAGGCTTCCACCTAGACCGGCCCCGCCCTTTCCCTCCCCCTCTACTCCTGCCCCAGCCTCCGCTTCTGCCTCGGTATAGTAGAGGTTGAAGGTCTCCTTGCAAGATCCTGCCACCCCTGGGATACTGCTGCAGTCCCGAAGTGTGAACTTGAGCTCGATGAAAATCCGCTGCCCACCGCGCCGCCCAATCCAACCTGTCTGCAGCCAGTTGTTCTGGTTGGGTTCCAGCACGTTGCACACCTGGTAGGTTCGGATTGGTCGGTCGTTCTCATCCACTCCACTGATTTCCTCCCACTGCGGAAAGGGGCAGGGGGGAGAGAGGCAGATGAGTATCCAGCAAGAGAAGAAGGAGCCTGTTTTGCAGTGGGATGTAGTGCCGCAGACAGAGCACTGGACTGCTCACAGCTAGAAAATCTGGATTCAAATTCTGACTCCCCACTTACTAGCTGTGTGATCTTGGACAAATCACTTAACTTCCGGGAGCCTCAGTTTCCTCACATCTAAAATTATAACAACAACAACAGGTAGCATTTACAGAGTGCCTACCAAGTGTCAGGCACTGTGCTGGGTGCTGTATAAATTTTATTTTATTTGCTCCTTTCAGCAATCTTGGGAGGTAGGTACTATTATAATTCCCATATTACATTTCAAGAAACTGAGACCGAGGTTAAGTGACTTGTCCAAGGTCACACCGTTAGTAGGATCTGAACTTGGTCTCCTTGAGGAGTACACTAGATGATTTCTAAGGTTCCTTACAGCTCTAACATTCTCATTTTATGGATCGAGCCTCGACCCTGCCTTTGACATATCATACAGCCTAGGGCAAGTCCATTTCCCTCTGGTTCTAGTGTGTAAAATGAGGGTCTTCGACTGGCCAATCTTTGAGGCTCCTTCAAATTCTAACCCCTATAAACCTCTAACAAACTTTCCCTCTCTTGTCCTCAGTTTCATCACCTGTAAAATTAAGGCATTAAATTAAACTAGTCTGATCTAAATCTTCTGTCCCTGGATGATCAAACGCTCCAGAGCCTTCCAGGCTTTTACTTAGAAGGTAGTCACTTGCCATAGTGTCCACAGGCTCAGGCAAAGGCTGCTCCATGAAAGGACTTGGGTCCAAGCCTTTCCATACAAATATGTGTGATCTGTGATATCTTCAGCACAGGGAACTCCTGGTGTGTAAACTCTCTCCACCACAACCTATCTACTACTTATTAAATAAGAAATTAGTGGATAGACTACTAGACTTGGAGTTAGAAAAACTTAGGTTCAAATCTTTCCTTAGGCACTAGCTTAGTAGAAGTCACTCAACCTCTTTTGTCTGCAGTTTCCTCATCTGTAAAATGGAGGTGATAATAGCTTTTACCTCACAGGGTTGCTGTGAGAGATAAAAAGAGACGATGTATGTAAAATGCTTGGAAAATCTTAAAAAGCAATATGTTAATGTAAGCTATTATTATTAAGTGAGTTTGTCCAGAATCTCAGATATAGTAAGTATCAGAGGCAGGATTTTAATCCATTGTTCCCTGATTCCAAGCCCACCCTTGCTTCCTTCATAGGACTTTTATGAGCATCAAATAGGAAAATGAATGAGTACTGTACAACTTTAAACACTATAGGGATTTGAGCTATTTTGGTATTACTATTGATAGAGGTAATGTGTTATAGTGGACAGAGTGCAGAGATAGAAGCCTGCCTCTGACACTTGGTGGGTCTGTGACCCTGAGAGCTCTCCATGACTTACCAGAGGTATCATTGTTGGACAGTGCCTTACATATAGCAGACCTTCTATAAATCTGTGTTAATTGATTGAGGCTGGGTAATGGGAAGGACACTGACTCAATCAATCAACAGATATTTACTGAGGGCCTGTTTTGTGCAAGGCACTGTCCAACACTAATGCATGTAGAGAAACCATATTTTATAGAGTCAGATCATGTTAGATCTGACAGGGACCCTAGCCACTGTGTAGTTAACTCCCTCATTTTACACATGAGAAAAGCAAGGCCTGAAGAGGGAAAAGTGACTTGTCCAAGGTCACCCTGGTAGTAAGTACCACTGCCCAGATTCCAATCCAAATTCTCTGATTCCAAATCTGGTACCCTTTTCCACTACATGATGCCCAGTGGTGATAACAGCCTATATAGTCTAACCAAGTTGGGATTGTTGATAATTTCTGTTGTAGAAGGGAGTAGTAAAAGGAATTTTTCAATAGTCACATCTCTTTGTAAGGACTTCCATTTAAGATTTGCCTGTATAATGATTTTTCATTCAGCTTCATATTAAATAAATCTACATACCATGAGCATATAGCAGAAGATGATTTATACTGATAAAACATGTTGGGTAGTGGGGTGAGAGAACATGGTAATAAACATTTGCTATGGCTAATCATTTTACAAATAGGGAAACTGAGGTAAAATGGAGCAGCTTTATTTGTCTCCAGACTACACCTCCCAACAGCTGGCTACGGAAACCAGATGTCAATGACTCTCCTGCTGAGGCCCTTATTCTAACCTTGTCCCCTTGGTAACCTATGATCTTCTTCCCCACCCCTATCAGTGCACTGACAGATAATCAGACATGGTAGAGCAAGTGGCTGAGACCAGCTTCCTGGTGACCAAACTGCACCTGAGCTGCAGTGACAGCAGCTGCATTGCAGTACAGATCTCACACCAACTGGGCCCTGGAAACTCGGAACTCTTGAGCCCAGAATCTTGGTGTCTAGAATTCTGGGGCCCACAACAGACAGACTGGATGGACTGTGTCCTTCAAAGGGGTGGAAAAGAGAAGGCAAGGCAGTTATTGTCAGCTACTCCCAGAGAAAAGCAGCTGGCTCCTTGGACTGGCTAATTGGCCAGAGGTGCCAAGACTCCCAATTGGCCATGTGTAACCATAATCTGGAGAGAGAAGGGATGCAGTCCAGAGCTGCCTAAGGATCTATCACTAAAGAGGACTCTGGCTTCTGCCCACGTGGAGGTGGAAGGACTCACCACTCTCATTTCCACCCTTACCACTCGAGGAGCAGGAAAGAGAAGAAAGACTCACCCCATTACTGGGCAGTGCAGTCCAGCCTAGCTCAGCTTGGGATTCCTTGGAATCCAGAAGGACAACTAGAAAGAGGGAGTGAGAAAAGTTAGTGCAGTGGGAGGGGTGGAGATGTCCCAAACAAGATTAAGGAGTGCAGGAGGATAAATCAGGGCTCCTTCTATACCCCTAGATCCCTGAGGAGGAAAGCCTATGGCTGGAGTAAGGAGTGAACATTTTGAGTCTCTGTGTAGAGACTTCAAGCTGATTCATCTAAAAAGAGGATCAGAGACCCTTAGGGGTCTCTTGGGATAACTCTGACTCCTCAGATTGTCTGATTTTTGTAAGCCAGAGGAATATTATAGGAACTGGTATAGCAGAATCCTATAGGCCATCTGGCCTAGCTCCTGCCTTTAAGTTGGACTAGCATGGTAGAAAAGGTGTCTCTTTATAGATAGAGATGCCAAATCTCTCTGTATGGAGGGGAATGTCCAGGTCAACAAAACTCAGCTCCCTCCCCAGAAATATTCCCAACCTCTGCCATTGCTCCCCTCCTCTCCTGGCATTCCAGTGGTAGGGGAAGATTGGATCATGATATTTAACATTGGAAGTGCTCAGGGATTTCATTGGGTACAATCTTATCTCCTTACATATGAAGTACTGGCAAAGTGGAGAGAGTGACTTGAATAAGGAAGGGCACATAGGTAGTAAGAGAGCTGGGATTTGAATCCTTTTTTTTTGTCAGTGTAGACCCTCAAATGAGTTTCCAAGGTATCTCTTTGCCAGTCCAAACTCAGACTATCCCCTTACTCCCCGCGTCTAAATCCTCAGATAGAGGAAGAATTAAGCCCTCTCTACATTTTCTCTAGCTGTCTTTTCTCACGTCCTTCACGTAAGCTTAGAGAAAGAAGGGAAATGGCTTTGAACTCCAGAGGGGTAGCCCTCTTAAACACCTGATGGCTTTCTCCTGGGGAAGGTATGGGGACATTGATTAGTCCCTCTGCTAATAAGGCAGCATCTCAGAAGTCGCCCAGAGCCAGAGTTACTATGCCAGAGAGCTGCCCTAGGGTAGCCAACTGGAGCCAAGGGTGGGGAGCGGCCCCCAGAACAGTCTTTGCTTCCAGACGTATGTCTCGGCCCAGCTACAGCCAACAGAGGGAGGAGCCCAGGCCCTGGGTCCGCCCTATTCTGACCAGAGAGTCGGCTGAGGGTGGCAGCACCATGGACAGCGACTCGGGCTCTTGTTTGTCTGTCTTGGTTTTCTGGCCTCTTGGTCAATCTCACCCGCTCCCGGTCTTCCTCATTTCCCACGTTTTCTCATCTCCATAGCCCCTTAGCCAATTTGAGATCTACCCACCATGTTTATCTCTTCCTTGTCCCCTATCTCCCTCTCAAAGGTCTCCCTTATACATCCCACAATATCCTCTTCTCTCAGACACCTCTCTAGTCTTTTGGAAGTTCTCTTCAGCATCCAGGACCCCCAATATTCCTCCCCATCTGCAGTTCTTGGACATCACCCCAAGTCTCGGAAGCCCCCTCTAGTCTGCCAGACACTCCTCCCTCAGTGTCTCGGAACGTCTTTTCTCCAAGTACCACAAAATGCCCCGCCTCCCAATACACTCTCTCCCCCCACCCCCAAATAGCCCTATCATCCTGTGCCTCTGTCCCTTTTTGGTTTCCCGGACTTCCCCCCTCCCCTCAGTCTCTCTACCTTACTAGTCTTTGGCCCTGTCTACGCACACCCCCCGATCTCCCTAGCCTCTCCTGACTCTCTCACTCCCCTGGCTCCAGACCCTCCAGCCCTCTGGGCCCTGGCTCCTCAATCCCGACCGCTGACCCCTGTAGCTCTCCAGCCCCCTGGCTGCAGGTCCCAGACTCACCCTCCTCGGCGGTGCCAGGCCGGCTGGGCCCCAAAAGCAGCGAGAGGAAGAGCGGCTGCAGGCAGATAAGCAGGCGCTGGGGGCTCAGGCAAGCGCCAATCTCCATGGTCCAGCTGACAGAGATGTCAATGCGGCCGCCCGGACCCCAGCTCCAGGCCTGGCCCCGGCTCCAGCCCCTGGCCCAGTCCCGGCCGTAGCCCTAGCCCCAGTCCTGGCCCCCGCCCCACGGAGCCGCTCTCCGGACCCCGGCCCAGGCAGGGGGCGGGGACTCATCTGAGACCGTCACCTGCCGGGGCCAAACAGCAAACGCAGTCCGTGGGACTCAGCCAATCTACACCCAAGGAAGGCGGGGCTTCTTCTCTGGGAGGTGGAGCTCTGGAGAAAATGAGGCGGGGCTAGGGCCGCGGGAGGGGGAAGGGTTGCCCACCAATCCCTGTGGAGCAGTAGGCGCAGGGGGCGTGGTCCTACGAACCGAAGATCCGCACGTGTTCACGCGTGGGAGAATCGCCTCTTAGGGACCCGAGATCCCCTGAACGCGCAGGGTGGGGCACTCGGCAGAGCCCGTGGGGTGAGGATGCAAAGACGGGGTATCTACAGAGAGGGGGACAGACTCACCCTCGTAGCCCAGACTGAGGAGTGGGAGGAAGCTTAGATCTCCCTCCCCAAGGGAAACCACTCTAGCAGGGACTCAGACCTGGGAGGACCTCCGTGGGTGCTGAGTGCTCGGAACCTCGGGGTAAAACTTTCCCTGTCTCAGGGCTACAGACCTCTCCTCCACTCTGGAGGTTATCCTCAAGAAGGGAACTGGAGAGAGTCTTGTGAGGCTCTGGCTTTTCTCAAAGCGGCTTTTCTCGCGTGCATCCAGGTGTAAACTGAAGATTTGGACTGTGACTGGTGACCCGCGGTCTATTTGGACCCCGACCCATTGGGGCTCTGAGCCTCTTCTCTGACTCGATGGGGGCCGCGGCCCCTTTCATTGGGGCGGGGGGGGGCGCACCATATTTGGTTTTTCTTCGTAGGCCTTGGCGTCACAGCTCCACCTGGGGAGGACACAGGGGCTGCAGAATCTGTGGAGAATCCGTCTCCTCTCTTATTCTTATCCCCCGCCCCCCTCTCATTTCCTTTTACAGCTACAGCTCTTACCCGACTCCTCTCTAAAGGGTGTCCAGGAACCTGTATTAGCTAAGCCCTTCCGAGGGAGAGACGACTAGCCGGCCTGGCTGGGACTGGTGCTGTGTTTGTATTTGGTGGAGGGAGCGTGAAATTATTTGTATCTTTTCGTTCTACAGTTAAGCAGCAAAATAGAGAGAGAGAAAAAAATCAGTCCTTGACCTTGAGCGAAGGTTGTCTATGTGGTCAGGATCAACCCAGTGTGTGCGTGTCTGATGTGTAAAGGAGAGGACGGGGAATCTTGGACAAGATAAGCTTCAAACCATTCCTCTCCCCAACAAAGCCCACAGGAGCCCTAATTACAGGATGTAGAAGGGGCAGTGTGCGTGCCTGTAAATGTGTTTGTGTGGAACGTCGGCAGAGCCAGTATACACACTCGGCAAAGTTTGAAAATTGCGCCCCCTGTTTGTGACTGTCTGCTGGAGCCTTCACCAGGAGGTTGACCTTACAAAATTAGGCCCTACCTAATTAGAAAAAAAAAAAGTGTAGGGAGGATTTTCTATATTTAAACCTCACTATTTTTTTAAAACCTTCATTTAAAAAAAAAGAGTCCATATTGTAAAAACAATAGATAATAATTCTTTTAAAAACAGGCCATAGTCATGTGGTCAAGGACAGAACTCTGCACCTGTATGGGCCTTGTTTTCCTCATCTGGAAGATGACAGTAATAACATAGGTCCTACTTACTTCCATATGACTATGACAGAGATCAAATGAGCTAACTGACATGATGCTCTGTAACAATAAAATATTTTTCAAAAGAACAGGTTTCCTCATCTTCAATGTTGGTGCCAAATTATTAAAGCTAAAGTACAAGTCCTTTCTTTCTGTTGAAAAGGGGAAAGAGGGAGGACAACAAATTACAGAAATAGGAAGTGGCTTGGTGGTAAAGCCACTCTTTAAGGCTGCTTTGTTCAAGCGTTTTAGGGGGGTGTGTTATGTACAGCAAATATTTGTTGGCATGTATCATCTGTGTCAAAGCAAAATGGATTAAAATATTTTTAAAAAAAATCTCTCAGTGTGACCTGACAAGCTTCCTATTGTACTTAATCCTAATACACACTCTGTATATTTGTGTCTATTCAAGTACATATCTGTAGGTATATAGGAATAGAGATGGAACCTGTGACTTCAATGGGAAATTCCTCTACTAAGGTAAGCACTCTCTCTGCAATTTATAGTCATGGAGAGTTGCCTAGAACACTTAGAGGTTAAATGACTTGCCTAGGGTCACACAGCCAGTATCTATCAAGGAGGGGGAAGGACCGTAGCCAGGCCTTCCTGACTACCAGGCCAGTTAGTTCTCTATCTACTAGGCTATGGCAGCCTCTCTTGGTTCATATCTTATTTTATTTATCAACTATTTACTTAATCCTCACTATGGGATTAGGAAGCTAGGGAGGGAATATCTGTTGGGGTTTTCCCTTCAAGGAATTTAGAATCTAATAGTAACTTATCTATGTGATGTTTTTGTGGGGAACTTATTGGGTCTACTATGTACTAGCAGATGTACATGACAGTTTTCTCATGTAAAGTTGTGTCCCTTTGTGCTGGGGGTGGGGAGTGAGGAAAGAAAGAGGGAGTTGTTCCCTGATGGGCAGAACTATCTCCCCCTATCTCCCAAAGCAAGCCCTAGGCAGAAGCAGGGATACAGATAAATACTAGCTTTTAAAAAAAAAAAAAAAAGATGATCACTAGGTACCTCCAGGCCTGAAAGCCAAAGAGGAAATCCCTGAGGAGGCCTGACTCAGTATTACCCACCCAGAGCTGGGGAAGGGCCCAGGAATAAGGAATGGAATTAGTTCTTAGGGTTCTACCCTTGGAAGGTGAATGGGAAAGCAGAGGGCGATATTGGGCAAGGGCAGTGACCCTGAGGAGAACAAGTCTGTCCTGGGAACCTCTTTTAGGTTGCTGGAGATTGATTGTCTGAGACTTTCAACCTTCCTCCCAGACTCCCTCCTCCATATCTTCATAACTCTATGGAAGATTACATACTCCCATTCCCCACCCTCATTTCCTTTAGCTCTAGGGAAATTGGTAAAGGGAGCCTTTTAGCTGGCACTTAGTAGGTGCTTAATCAGTGTTTGCCAAAATGAATTCCTCAAGAGGCCCGTCCAACAGTTCCTTTTTACCGAAATAGCCCATTCCTAACCCCACTCCTACTCTACCCTTCATTCCAACTCTCTTTTACCTTAGCAGTCCCCCTCCCCCCCAAACAGCAACTGAAGCCTCACACCGCAGCCATAGCAGATTGACCGTAGTTCACAGTGATCCGTGACCCGTAGCCCCTAGTGACTTAGTCCTGGTGCCTCTAGACCCAGGCAGAACTGGGATGTGAGGGATCTTGGTCGGTACTTCCATCAGGTGCAGGGTATTAAACTGGATAGGGCATGGGAATTTAGAAACTCACAGCCCAACCCCAGAGTTAACACCTGAGGGTAGGAATGAGAGAGATTTTCCAAGGATTTGACTTTCTCAGAAAAATTCAAGGAGAAAAAAAATATGAATGGACCGAGAAGGGGAGAAACGCAGGTGCATGTAGATATATGCAGATATATGCAAATTTGGCGTAGCAGCGCTGAAGCCCTGGTGCTAATGAGCTATCACAGATCAAGCAGTAGTAGCCCTAGGGCCAGGCTCTGGAGCAAAATATGAGCAAATTAAAGGGGGCAGACTTAGGTCAGAGCGTAAGTCTACGTGGCCAGGCAGGTATTATCCGGGTAATTCAAGTAGCCAAACCTACTTTGGGCCTAACTGAGATAGTCACCTTCCCCGGCAGAGAAAGCTCTGTCCAGGTGCTGTTCGCCGCAGAGCTGAACCTGTAGCCTTCCACGGTTCCGCCTGCGGCCGCAGCCCGTCCGCTAAGCGACAAAAAGGAATTGGGCCCTCTGGGCCAGTTAGGGATGACCATCAGGCCGCCCTGGAGCCCGGTGCCCGCAGGTCACCATCCCATAGGTCCAGGGACCTCTTCCCGGCTCCCGCCCCTGTCACCCACCGTTTTTTCCAGGTGGCAGACCCGGAGGCGGGCCTTTCCCGAATGTCGGCGCTGCCCCGCTGGCCCCGAGCCGCCTGCGGGGACGGAGGTGTGTGCGTGCACGCGTGTGTGTGTGTGTGTGTGTGTGTGTGTGTGTATGGGGGGCGGTGTATGTGTGTTTGTGTGTGCGCGCGTGGTGTGTGTGAGGGGGGTTGTCGAAGACCTCAGTGGCCTTGACAAGGGGGTCTGACCATGGCGGCCGTTTCCCGACCCCCACCCCCTCTTGCAATCTCCTCCGAACATCCTGGAAAAGAGAAGAGGGAGCGAGCAGCAATAGGAGAGCCAGGCTGGTGGATTCAGCTATAAGAACGTGCCTCAGCCTTCTAGAAGACAGCGCCTCTCTCCCGCCGCTGCCCCGCCCCCTGTCTGTCTGCGTCCCTCTCTCCTCTGTCCTTCTGTCTTCATTCTAGTCTGCTCTCTGACTTTCTCTTTTCTCCCTCTTCTGTTCTGTCTCTCTTTCCTTCTTTCTCTTCTTCTTCTTAATCTGCTCTCCTTTTCTTCTCTCCGCTTCTCCCTCTGTCTCCCTCTTTTTTTCTTTCTTCCTCTTTGTCTCCCTCTCTTTCCTCCTCCCAGTCTGTCTCTTTCTTCCTGATTATCCCTTTCTATCACCCTTCTGTCTGTCTGTCCATCTATCTCCTTTAAAAGTTATTGAGAACTAACCCTTCTGGGTGAAGACAAATTGATTTTCCACTCCTTTCTCCAGCTCCTCCAGGCAGAAAGTAAATCCAGATGAGCCCTGACACAGAAGGTCAGCTTCTCTATGGAAGAGGCTTGCTAAGATGTCGTGCAGATAATACAGAGCTGAGCCAGGGCAGGAGGTGGAGGAGGGGTAAGAACTGGAGGCTGACCTCAAAGGCATCTTTCTTCCCCTGCATTGGGGCCCTGCCTCATGCAGCAAAAC